CGTCCTTCAGTTTCTGTTCTTGTACTTGAACGGTGGTCCGTCTTCGGATTGTTTGAAGGCTTTCATTTTGATCCTGACGGCTCTTTACAGTAGATAGTGATGTAATGCTACATCCACTGTTATCCTAGATCTTGTACCAAGTAGCTGCCTTCTGCTTCCTTCAGGTAAGATTAAGATGAGGTCTCTCTGAAATTTGACATGTTTGTGTGTTGAAATCCACATCACCTTATGAATATCTTTGTACTAATACACTTTTTTTCAATGACTAAGTCACTAATCACTCAGAAACCATCTAACCAACAACTCTGATAAGTTCTTTCCCTACTCTTTCTGGTCCGAGTTTGCCAGGCATTCATATCATCCATTAGGATTTCGATATCACCATCTAGCTGAGGTCTGATCTTTTGCTGCCTGCAGCTTTTAGTAGAAGTCATCCTTTACCTCTATTGCGTTGTTTTTAGGTGGATGACATTGTATAAACGTAAGTTTCCTTTCTTTTAAGGTATACCTTTTTGTCATGACTCTGTAAGAATTGGTCTCAACCATATGAGAGCCTTCGATCATATAAGTGGTGACATCAAAATAGTCACACACTTAGTGTGCTCTTGGTTTTCGTCTCAAATGACTGTTCACTTAATTGTTTAGAGAATCCGTTTCCATTCTATCAACTCCCATGGACGGTTAATACTTCTATAATATACCCCATTTCTTTTGCAGTCTGAACAGACTTTCCAATCTCAAACATGGTTCGGTCATTTCATGTCTCTATGCTTACTTTCGTTTTCACGGAAAGGAAAGAAAGATATCGCCTGACTGGTTATCTGGAGGCTTACACCAGCTGGTGTCATCCGTCTTCAAATTAGCGATCCTACGCGATTTCATCTGAGAATAAGTTTATTTTCTCTGTGTTTTGAATTTTCAGTAGCGAAGAAGTTGATTTTAACGGAGTGGAGTTACTAGTCTTAGGACCAACCGTCCCTTTCTTCCAGGTTTGGAACTGGTTAGCAGGCTAGAATTTAGGTAATCTGCATGCCTAAATGACAAGTATTACTTAGCTCTGAAATTCTTCGCATATCTTTCTATTTCGTCATCAACCACTGTATACTAAGACCAAAACTCTGTCGTCATGTGCAATCGTTCAAATACAGTTATAATTATTTGCATACAGGTAATATAAAGACTTTCAATCAGCTTGCATTCAGTGACTCTTCTCATGCAGATCAGTTTGGATGGGGATACAGAAGGCCACTGCCCTTTAATAACTATTGGTTGTATGTCTTTGCTGGTGGTTCAACAGCAGACTGGATATAGTTTGAAGTTCCATAAGGATAATTATTGCTACTATACTGAAGAAGAAGATAAAAATGTAAAGGATTTCATAGCACTTGCTTTTTTTCGACATCTATTCAAGTGTAGAGACGTATGTGCACGAAATAACGTACTGTAAAAATCCACTCAAGTGTTGCTGAAGAAGAAGTAATCTCCAACTGATTATGTTCAAGAATATTAGGCCTATCTCTCTGCAGTTAATTCAATGTCAGCTGTTGCCTGGTGAGACTCTATCTCTCCTTATGTTAAAAATCGGTGCCTACCAAGAACAGGAGATAGCTTCAATAATGTTGCAAAGAGATTATCATAGTTAATATCGCATGTACATGAGAATCCTTAAGTACCTGATCTTTATTAAATAAACATTAAGAACAAACACTGTTCGATTATGCCTGAGCATCTTGCTTTTTACAGCAAAGTACACAGATTCTGGCAAACTTAGACCTTACTGCATTCGAACAACACTCACTAGGTGCCAATAATCACAAGATGTTTCCTCATTCTTCCAGAACAGTTAGTCTTGTGCTTCAGAGGTTAATGCAATTCATACACCAACAATTCTAAGAGAACTAGCTAGAGTTTCCTGGTCCCCATAGATTCACTAATGTTAACATGAATCAGGTGGAGCTAAGTGGATCACCACATGTCTTTTGTACATCTCAAAGATAACACATGCAATCAATATACCGAATTCTTAAGTTTTTTGCTAATGAAGCCTATCGTCCTAGGGACTTAACTTATACGATAGGCACTGTGGTGTGAATAGGTTAAGAATTAAATCTCATAAAAGAATAACCTTTTTATTTGAGACCCCACACAGTGAGTGATACAGTATTATGTATTTACTGATGACATTTCAAGCACAATTTATTTCTTATTGTCATAACATGGCTGTCATATAACCGTTTATGAAGTTCTGTTATATTCCATCACAGGTTTAAGATATGAAGAAACTTCATGAGGAATATCATTAGAATCGAGGATACCGAACTTATGTTGTATATGGACTCTCGAATCCGAAAGGATCAAGTGGCGTACGAACCTGTTTTGGTCACCGGAAACCATGGGAACAACTCCTGACACTGCCCCACTGCCTTATGGATTAGAATTCAAGTCAAAGGCTAGCGAGGTGGATCCCCAAGACAACCAGCTGCTTCGATCTGGGTGACCGGACTGTATCTAAGCCCTCGTACAAACTACCAGATTTTGTGTGGTGCATCTCTTTGTGCCTATAATATAACAAGTTTTTGTTATAATAAAATGTAGGAGCAGCTAGTTCTCTAGTTATGATGGTAGAGTAACTCTGGGTCGTATTGTGCTGTGAACTTGATTCAGCAATATCAGAGTAAGGTCAGTTGGAATCCCTGTAAGCCTCTTTAGGTATATCACGATACCCCTAAAAAAGTAAACTGAATACGCATGAATGTCTTCTGTTGTGCACTTAAAGGTTTCTGACATAGCACATAAATATGTACTGTAACAAGGTGTTCTATTGTAACGATAACCATAAGTTTTTCAGAAAAAGTCCCTTAAAGAAACCATTGCTCAGTAATCGGTATAAATGTGCCTCCAAGTTGTCTTCTACCTCATCCATTACCGGTTAGTGTTAACAATTCAAACTACTAAACGTACTTAAATCGTTTGCTAGTCGACATGGTTTTTCCTGATTCAGGCTATCGGATTGAATGAGAAGTTTGCCATTGCTTAACCAAAGCAAACCTTTCTATGTATCGTTTACAACAATTAACATGAAGACTTAGGATTAACTTGCCAGAAGCCAATCGATAAGTCACCTGATTGTTTTATAGAATATACGGTTTATGTGGGTTCACTACGAACATTTAGTTTAAGTTAGATCTAAAGTTAGACTCTCTAAGCAATGCAGCTGAAAACGTAGGCTACGTGTTTTTAAACTGTAGAGGAAAAAGCTTTAAATAAGCAAAATGTTTTATTTGTGTGATGAAGGTCCACAATTCCCTTAACTTAGTATTCGACATCAAATATCAACCAAAACAGACTAGCAACGATGTTACCGATTTATTTAAAAAGCAAACTAGGTACGGTAAGCGCACTAACAAATGGGTTAAAGAAAAATAATAAAACAACATTATGGGGAAAGAGAGTGATCGGGGTACGGGATTACGAAAACAGCTAAGTATATTTATCACGAGGATTTTTTACTTCCTTGGATTTCGCGAAAGTGAGTAATTAGCAGGATATTCGCCGTCGATTTCAATTCTCAGCTATATCTGATTACATCACGAGCCACTAAGTTGGACAGTCACTCAGAATCCACCCACAGAGGAGTGACATGATAACGAATATTAACTATACACAATTATCCTTCATCTCAAGTCATAGGCAGATCATTTCCTCCCTTTCTCCATGCAGATCCAAGGTTAGTGAATGGTATGGGAGACACTGGGATGCGTTCAAGCCAGTAAAGCCGATATCCCAAGATAGTATCAGTCATTGGACGACAATTTTCACTATATATGAACGCATAACATCCAACCTCAGAATTGCTTACACGGTGATGCTACATGATGCAAGTAGCTCAACGATGAGTTCGGTGATCGAACACGCAGTCGCCAAGCATACTCAGCTCATAGAGGCAAGGCTTTACAAGCGTAGAGAAAGATATGTGCACTGAATCGTTGTACACTCCACTTTTGATAGCCAGACTGATGTTACGAAGATACCAGAGGTGAACTATATTGCAATATTCCGATTTGGAACCACATCCATCACACTACCAACAGTATTCAAACAAAAACGTAGATGAATGGAATTCTCAAATGCATCTAATGGTTCACATGGAGGGGTAAGGGACGATGTAGGCTCCTGCAACAATACTTTACACTTGGACAGAGGAAAATACATACACCAACTGACTGTGTATGATTCGGGTGGCTCAAATATTACCACGCACATCTCTGAGTTGTCTTCAAAATGTGATTGATAGCAAGATTAAAGAGAAACGGTGAGACTAGGTAGACCTATCTAACCATACTCTCGACTGATAACAGATGGTTGCATACCCTCACTCTACCTAAAGTGGTTCTGCGTCTAAGGAAGGAAGACTACTCTCTTACATATAGTTATGTCCAACCAATCGAAGGCAGCCCTAATATCAAGAAATACGATTGTTGACCTGTGACAGTGTCCTACAAACTGAAAGAGTGAACACGCTATCCGGATGAGACCTAGCCCACTCTTTACGAACCAATTTTTTGCACATTTTACGGAGCGTGATAGCATAAAGTAGTAACAGACTGATAACTCCGACAACTTTAGAATGCATTTCATGATGGAGTAGCTAGCAGTGTACTCCAGGATGATCGATTCGGAATCAGCAGTTGCATGCGAATAAGTAGCAGGGTTCTCAAACGAAAGTGCATATGCAAACGAAAAACTAGTCATAGTGTGTGAAAACGTTGAATAAAAATATCACTATCTTAAAATTAAGAAATCAGTACTCTCTACGTCGTACAGTGATTCCGTGATTTTACTTCAGCATGACTTCGTGACAAGTTTATCAAGAATTTTCTCCCTTCTATCTGATACACTAAAGATAGAACTTTCATCGAACAATCCCATAAACCCGTTGCTAACATGCTTTCAGATAACTGAGAATAATCATAAGTGAGTTAAGTGGTTAAGATAAAATATCCCACTACAACTTCTAACCATTAACAGTCAGCTGTGTTTTGCGCCGGGTTTTAGATTCGCAAACTTTTAATCATACGGTTAGACTGAGATTAGTTAGATTTAAATTGTGATGAATATATAATTATCACTAACATTCATTTAACCTGACTCGTTAGATAAACATATATACATCCGCACACCTGATACACCCTTAATAGCATCAAAAGAGAACAAGAAGAACGAAACCCAACAGAACATTATACTACGTTGATAAGTGTCAGTAATAGTAATAGTAACAGTAATAATAATAGTAGTAGTAACAATAGTAATAATAATGACGATTGGACAATGCACTATGAAAGTTCATGATGTCATTAAAGCATTCAGTCATTTTAGCATATAAATAAGTAATGACAAAAATGAGTCACTTTCACATTAACAAAAAGATCAACAAATAAATAGTCAAGCATAAATAAATAAGCAAATAATAAGCAAGCAAATAAATAGGCTAGTAAGCAAACAATAACTACTACAATAAAAAAACAACTCGAAGATAACATATATAATTTGAATGATGGTCGAGTGTCACACAATTACACACAAATGTGGAACAGTAATACGTCTGGAAAGCTGTTGTTATATCATTATTGTCAATACGAATAGTATTAGTACTACTAGTAATGTCAGTCCAAAAATGTAAACGAATAATTTAGGCAAAGTAACCGTACTAAGACCAACAGTCACAGATGGAAAGTTCACAAGTGCACACATAATCTGGCTGTTCAACAAAATCAAACTCTCCAAAAAAAAAAAAAAATGAAATAATCACAGCACATGAAATATGCGAAATACTGCTGTACACAAACAAAAACATACTCGGAACTACTACGTAAACCATAAAATACAACGTAAACATGAGTGGCGGAGGGGGGCGAGAAAGTTCAAAGTGTTAAGATGAAAAATAAAAAGAGGATGATAGAGGAAAAGAATTTTTGCGTCAGAACAGTGAAGTATAGTGAGATCGAAACATTAACAACAAGAACAACATTTCCTTCATTTTCTCCATGCAAAAGGATAACGCAAGACTTTATTTTGACCGTACGGAAGACACTTAAGAGTTGTACTAATTATATAAGAATAGAAAATGAGAAAATAGATAGCGTGTTAAAAGTTGTACATATACTATCATTATAGTATTAGAGATGGTAATAATGAAAAATAACAGTAGTGAACTGAGACACAATATAAGTGATAGTAATGATAGCAATAATCCTGCAACAAAATGAACTAGCCAAATGAGATCGAGTTGGTGAATGCGGTTGAACATGCACCCACATTCACAATCACATGTAACCAAAATTAACAAGACAAATTCTGGAAGCGTCAAAACACAATAGAAATGATGATGCCGAAGAAAAATGGCTGTAAATTACTGAAATTGCATAATAGTCACAGTAGTAGTATTAGTAATAATAATGGTAATAACAATAGTAACTATAATTGCTAGGGTAATACAAAAGTGATGCATCCAATAAATTCACTGGGAGAACATTCTGAATGCACTAAGCCATATTTTACTCCTTTCAACGATAAATAAATATAGTGTGATGTAACAATGTACAGGAAAAAAAGCTAGAACAATGCATAGAAACAAAAAACACAAAACACAGAAAGTGATGTTTGTCCACGATGTATTCGTTTTCCTCCCGATATTTTTTTCTTATCGCTTGCACATGTGCGATATTGGTAGACGAAAATTGGCATTTGATGCAGCAGCACGCGGCGTTGAGCCGACGTTATTAGTTGCCATAGCACACCAATCACCGGAAAGTAAGCCATTCGCAGCAGCCAGTGTACCTGGATGTGATAAATTTAAAGCAGTCTGGTTTGGAGCTCCACGAGCAGATAGATTACAGCCAGCTGATGTTCTGTACAACGACTCGTTTAGTTTTAAATTGCCTTTGTGAATAAAAATGAAATGATACTTAAAATATGGAATGGACAAATAAAATGTGTATCACAAAATACTGCAAAGAAATCGCATTTTCTACTCATTAACAACTTAATAATACTAATAGAAGACAGTAGTCATTTAAACCATCAAACGAAGCAACTCAGTGTATACAACATTCATTGGTTTCGATAAATGTCAACAACAAAATAAACTACTATCACTACAGGATCATAGATAATAATGAAACCAGTGTACCACACAAACGAGTTTTCTTGTCTTTGGTGAAATCTAACTAACATATAGAAAGTGTATAATTTAATAAATTGACTAACATATCTGCTTTCGCATAGTAGCTTAGATACACCATCTACAAGAAACACTCTGGATCGGTCACTTCAAACGACTCTTCAACCAACCACAAACTGCCAATTGTTCAGAAATATAACTACCTGGCACATAACTAACAGTAAACACCAATCTTTATGGCTATCAAGTTAATAAACGTCAGCAGAAGAGCAGCAAGGCCAGATGGGATTACCACAACAACACTGGAAAAGTTACCAGAAACCTCAGAAAACATACTCACGCGACTACTACCGGAGGTGTGGAATAAAGGAAAACTACCTGCCACCGATTGGAAGAAAGGCTCACTTGTAAAACTGAAGAAGAAGCCCGACCTAAGCTTATGCAACAACTAGCACGGAACCATGCCTCCATCAACCCACCACAGGCAAAGTATTAAGCCAAATCATCCCAAAACGACTAGAACACACATCTGAAGAAAGACTTCGCTCGAGACAGGTTGGATTCGGCGAAAAATAGGTCAGGCGGGGAACAAACTCCCAAAATACACATCATCATCCACATCATTGAACAAAACCAATAATGACAATCAAGTCGCAACTTGTCTCAACTTCATAGACTTTGAAAGGGCCATCAACAGTGTCGACCGCGAAGTAATAATTTGGAGACTGCTCCAACACTACGGAGTGCACTACCGAAACACTTATCAACCTAATTCAACACCTCTGTGATGACGTCACATGCCAATTAATTCAAAACGGAAAGCTCAGTGAAGCGTTTGAAGTGGAGACCAGAATGGGAGGTTGGCTACTCGATGTCACCAGTGATATTCCTGATAATGGTGGACTGGATCCTGCAAGACAGTGAGGAGTGTGAGAAGATCGACACACATCGGAGAGGCAAAAAGAGTCTTGATGATCTTCATTTTGCTTGTCACACACGCACGCACACACTCCAAGATTTACAAGCGAAAACAAACAAGTCGACAGAAGAGATAGCGAAGATAGGTCTTCAGGTGAACATAGAGAAAACAAGGATATTGGGGATATCTGACAAACAACAACAAGCAGCAATCACCGTGAATGGGAGCAATTCAAAGGCAGTCATCTCTTTCACCTACTCAAGGAGTGGAGGGGGCAGCTTCACTCCAGCTACGAGCAGACGTCACTCATGAGAATGTCAACGACATCCAAGGTCGGATCGGGAAAGCAAGACAGACAGGCGTCCACTGTACTGACATCAGTGTGGTCATCTACAGCAATCAATACAAGGAACAACATCCGAATTTTCAACACCAGTGTCAAGTCAGTGCTTCTGCATGTCTCAAGGACTTGGGACGTATGTTACCAGCAACTTTTCCACCAGTCTGAAATACCTGCCGCCTTCACCGGAGCACACCTGAAGTTCAGACGGTCAATCATGAAGGATTAACTATAAGTAACTTGTCAGCTAGGTGGTTAACGTGCCATAAACCCACTACCTAACAAATATGTGAAATGAAATCGAGATTGATTGGACATACACTTGACACTGTTGAGTGACACCACACACCAGGCAATCCTTGGAATAGAACACGCATAGGATCCAGAAGAGCCAGGTTGAGCGTCAAATGGTGACATGGAAATAATGTGAAGGGGAAATGATAGTCTGTAGGTAGTGGGATAGTTGTCTGTGTTTACACAGAACAGCAGATACCGAAGGGTGTCCTGGTGGAGGCGTGTACTCTATTTGGAACACGGAGAACGAATAATATAGTGATACCATACAAAAACGCAACAAAAGGACACTGGTATGCTACGACTCTACACATGCATTTATTTAATTCCACTTGGACCGGACTTTCATAAAGACGCACTAAGAAGTGAAAGTCGTTTATGCATATCTTGACTACACAAAGACAGTATCCTGTCATCAAATATCTCGTGCAAATTAGTTTACACGCATACGAAAACTAAAGACTATAAAATCACTTATAAACTAGTGTACAACTGGTAGTGGTGGAAAGTCGAAAGGAAATATGTCACTGAGTATCAAAACAAGTCCGACCCCCTCGAATGCATAGCAATTATTAAGGATATCAAAGTGTAACAGACTGAACAAGCTGAAAAAAATCGTTAATAACACATGGTATAAAAACGTCAGCAAAGAGAAATACACCAATGCCTGGAGGACTAACCTGGATCTACAGAACCAGTGGATGACCAGTGGGGTATTTGCGCGCAACCTGGAGAATTTCCAAGGCCAATAGCAGCAGCCGTCGCCATTGCAGACATAGAAGCTCCATTTTGGTGGGTGGGAAGCGCATCGTTGATGTAACCGGCTGCCAAGTGGTTGGTTGGTCTAGGACCTGGTATAACTGAATAATTGGGTCCAGTCCACTGATTATTTATAGATCGAGAGACAGCATTACCATGATTCCAACCAGTAGGAACAACTGATGGAGCACCCAAGGCTAAACTTGAACTCAAAGAGGGTGGAGCCAGTTGACAAAGACCTGCTGCTGCTGAGTGGTTCCAAGAATCGATTGAATTAACTAGTGGGTCAAGAGAATTATGTGCAGAACCAGGCACAGTCGCAAGTGGAGTTAAACAAATTGAATCCCAACCAGGTTGGGGCTTATGTGCAGACTGCTGATTGTACAATGAATCTTCGTTTAAGGAGTGAACTATGAAGCAAAATAATAAGAATAATAATCAAGATTTTTTAAAAACTGCAACTTTATTCTTGTAACTTGATATGACACTAAAAACCATTTCTTCTAGATAGAAATGCCTACACACCACTGTACACACTACAAACGTTGTGGTTAGCAATCCGCTGACAATAATATCTAATGCTAAGATTTTAATATGAATGTTTACTATGTAAAAAGAATGTACTGTAATATGAAACTATCTAATGGTATGTAGACTAACTAGTGAAGATTCACAACAATTTTCCCTGCAGACAGACGAACAATAGCATGATTGTGCATGACACTTCAGTGCATCGGTGTCAGATATTACAATTACACTAGCGCATCGGCAGGGAGGAAACAATCAGGATATAAAAAATGAAAGCAAAGATAGGGACAGTAGAAAAATTAGAACTGAACAAAAAGTATATATATATATATATATACATCTGCATTAACGTAGCTGAAATACAGTCCTGATCGCCGAGCAATTATTCCATTTTTCGTTAGGAGATTGATCAAGAAACCTATGGTTCTCTACATTATTGGGACAACTCAGTTAAACACTGCATCAACTGAGACATTTTCTTGATTTGGTTTTTATGACACTTTTGTAGTACTCACATATGAGACTGAGCACTTCAGTTTCTGTAGCTCCATAATCCTATTAATTAACTCATTTCTTTTACTTAATGCTTTAAAACTTACATAACAAATCCAATGTCAGATATGCTAAGTCTATATTATTCAAAGACCTGTTTGTTTCTCACTCTCCTTGGCCACATGTCGAGCAGCGGAACACCATACCAGAATGATTTCTATCAGGAATTAAAGTGAACAAACTAAATAAACTACTAAGGCTTCTGAGTTGTTGAACATCAAACATACAGTTTAGATAAATGAAAACAAAATTCTGTATAAAGTGAATTAGCTCAAGATTCTACAGTATTCCACAGAATGAAACTAACGAAAGCATGATAATGGTGCATATAAGAAAAATATGTATGTACAAAAAAATATAATGACAAGACACTGAAAGTTAAAAGCAGCATAAAAACAAAAAAATCTCGGCTTTACGACTGATTATGTGCTGTAATAATAATTACTTTCACTAGTTATTTCTAATACACCAGGGTATCCACAATTTTCCATACAAATTCAGGAGACATAAAACGATTTTATTGGTTTGAGATACTTCTTGACTTAGACAAACCAAGACTGTCTATCTCACATCTACTTCATCGATAAATACATATAGATAAAGTGCGACTTAAGTGAGCAACGTAGGATTGATATCAATACATGATCGTATAGACTACGCTAGCTTTCTTTTGTAACATCCCATATACAGTCGTAATACTGGCAACTCAGTACAACTTAGTGCACAGTTTAATATAAACCACAGCTCAAATACTTATTAACAAATATCAATTGCTATGACAGACGATTTCTAACAGTAACGAAGCGATAACTGTCAGAGTGGTATGCCGTAATTCCATTCAACAATAGACAGTCTTACTTCTCACAGATAACAGACTTCCAGACGCCAAACAGGCTTTTCCATTAATGCTGACATACTATTAGCTACTCATCCACCTATTAGATGAAATAATTCCATTGATAAATGTTGAGACTACTTCTACCTTGCGAATACGAGTTCAACTGAGCTTTCTGTAGCCACATACTGAGTACTTGTTAGTCCTTCAATAGCTATCCCGCAAGCAATTTTCCACCATTCACTAAGAGAAACAATGTACGCAAGTGAACGATGTTTTCGTAGGATGACCTTCGGGGGAAAAATAAACAATTAACTCCCCCAACACGATTATATTAATGTTGAAGAGGCTGTGATAGTATATATATATATATATATATGTCTGGTAAATGTCATCACTGTTACCAAATGAAATATTAATTTTCCATAAGTACTCACAAAAAATAACAAGTTTGGTCAAAAATTATGTTGCAAAATAATCCCTGTGAAATCTACATTTAATTACAACAGAAGTTCGCTATTCACGTCCCTTGTAGTCAACAGAATTATCTTTGAGTTTAAACAGCTAGAACTTAAACACTTATGATTAGCAGCCTTAATTCAATTTGATGGCAGCTTAGTAAAAACCGTACTACCTTTGTTAAGAGTGGTACTCTTCATTGGTAAAACCTATTTATTTGCCCAGTGTGCTTGATCTATTATAACTGATAATTCATTTCACTAGAAAGAAAAAACTATACCTTCCAAAGTTGAAACACTTAATAATTCTGAACCTTAAGCGACAAGAAAATAAAAAGTTACTTTCAAACTAACCGACCAATGAATAAATATGAGTTTTAACTTCAGCGACGGTTTATGAAATTAGCATCTGCATCCACTTGATATGAAATCAAAAGAAATTAATTGCACATACCTGTAGTCAAAAGATGTATTGTAAGCAAGTTCTGTTAGATGAAACTAAAGGCTCAACATTACTTTTTAATAGCTATATATACACATTCACTACTAAGAGTAAGACATCAAAACGTATAAACACACTGACTCCTGGCTTCTAGTGTTATTATGTATACGGTAATAAGACTAAAACTACCAACCAATATTCAAAATAACTCACTTCCTTATATCAATAATGATGTGAAATAAAAACGAAGTGGGTGAATGACTGACAATATTCAGGTACCGACGGAAAAATACATCGCGTAACTAATGAAGATAAACTAACTCATCATCCCGATATACGTCTGCATATACACCTTTGCACCATGCATGACGTATATAAACCTATCGCACCAGTCCGTCAATCAGGATAAAGGAAGAGTGGGTTCAACCCGTAACGAAGCAATTAGCAACTAAATTTGCTCACCGATTATGGACTTGTGTAGCAACAAGATACAATTACCAGTTACTTTTGAAAACTGACGACACAAAAGTGATCGGACTTTAGTTAGTGACTGACTATTAAGATTTGACTAAAATATTTCAGAGCGTACTTCGATTTACTGTCGTAGGTGCAGCTATCTGATGGCCCCAAGCCGCAGGCATCCAACCATTTGTAGAATTGATGGACTGATCCGGCCAACTTCCTAGTGCAGTACCAATGTTATGCATCGGGGGTCCAGGACCAACAGCAGTCTGGCCATTATGAGGAGTATTAGCATTTGAATTGGTCCAGGCTAGAGGAGGCCAAGCCTGAGGTTGTCCATGAGAACCCCAATTACCGGGCCAATGACTCCAGGTTGCACCTAAAAAGAAGAAAAGTACTCCCCGGTTAGAATAAGTGTATAGGTTTTCTTAAGTTGCGAAACTTCAGGAAGTAGTGAAGATTTGTTTTTTGAGATAAAGAATGACAATACACTCGATGATACGACATCAATTTATGCTGATTCCGAGTACCACAAGAAGTTCTTAAGTAAAATAAATGAGTCTGTATAACGATCAGGAACCGCAAGAGGCAACAAAAGCATGGAAAAGGTCTTCTGAGTACAGGTAGTTAATGACTTAAGAAATAAACCAGTCACGATAAGGAATGGTTATATGGTCCGTTACAGGTAAAGAGATAGATCACTAATCAGTTTAAGAGAAAGACAATTGAGACGCTGGAATGGACGGTTCAATGACAATTCAAGCAGTTTGAAGTAGCTCTTCAGCTGGTCAGGGTTTGGCATCCATCTGAATAGGATGCGGATATCCCAGCACAGATGAGGGGTCCCAAACATCGCGAGGTCAAGAAATGCACAAGGATTACTGATTCGATTAAATTCATTATACAATGTGAGAAAACCAAAAATTAACCAGCCAATCAGTAACTAACTTATATAGATGTAACTGAAGGCTCACTATTGCTTTTTAATGGCTATATATACCCCGGTGGGTGCGTACTGCTAAAGAGCCCCGAACCGGGACGGAACAGCTGCCAGTACTCCCAGGTTTTCCAATGGTTCTCTAACTGATGTCAGCTCATGATGAAATCCTCCAACCAACTAACCTATATAACGTGAAGCCCAACATTCTACGGATTATAGTAAAACTATCTTTTAAATGGTGGAACCTATTAGGTGTAGATTTCCGCCAGTAATCTTAAAATACTGATTATTAGAATTCTGCAGAACCAACAAGACAATCTACATCCCCCTACGTGGCTGGCCAAAATCACAAGTCGAAGACTTAAGGGACTGATGCCAGATTTTCACTTGATCGCTCCTCTAACTCTTTTCCAACCTAAATGTATACGTTATAACTGCTCGATGAGGAAACCAACACGTGTCCTAACGATCCCAACTGATGCAGCTTCACAACTTTATGGATTTACTTCCTCTCCTTACCTAACACTTTACGCCTAAGCTCAGTATCACTCACCACATTATACTGCATAACACGGGAGATAAAACGTAAATATGTTTGGTCACAGACAGCTTGTCTTTCCATACATTCCATTTTCAATGACCATGCCTAACAGGTATGAAGCAGGACAGAGAGATCAGCTAAGCACATGCTTCCTTTGATAGATAGCCGGATACCAGGTCCACAACGGTGACATCAGTCGGCAAATAACGGACGAGTCTTTTGTATCCATGATGAGATTTCGTCAGCAATCAGCCGACTAGGGTTGATGCAACTTCTCAAATAAGTGAATTAATCAGCATGCTCCACCACTTCACTCGCCATCTTTAAGCAAAAGGTAGGTGCAGTTCAGTCCAGCAACATCATTTTATATTCGACAGGGGGGAATTGTATTCCAAACATACTAAGATCTCTACTTTAAGTGTTCAGAAGACTGCGTTTCAACAGCGCTTTCACCTAGGAGCACAACAGCATCCGCATACTCCAAGACGATAAGACTGTACCCTGGTAATAGGTCAAGTGGCTGAATTTAGTTGTGGTCAATTCTATTAGTACATCTACGATTAAATAAAAATGCGGACGTGATCTTTCACGACTGACACCATTGGTTGTCATCACTTCAGATGACAGATCTCGGTAAGCTCCAACACGGCTACTTGATCCGAGTAGTGTGTTGATTAGTACGAAAAACATTATCGGCACTCCCTTTACGTCCAAACATTGCCAAAGTATTTCTCGGTCGACAGAGTCACATTCCGCCTTCAGGTCATGAAATATGGCAACAATGTCTGTTTTAAAATCTCTCGAAGAGTGAAGATATGATCAATACACCCTCATACTCGTCTAAAACCTGCCTGGTTTTCTTGCGTTTGTTTCTATCGAGCACCACTCAGTATCCACATGATTATAATACTTAAAAATTTAGACACCGTATTAGTCAAGCTATTCCCCCTATGATTATCACAGGAAGATTATCTCCCTTGTTGTATATTGAGATAATCAATGACCTATTCCAGCCTGACGGAACTATCTTTGATTCCCTGACAATATCTAATACCCTAGTTAACCCTGACATTTCGTGACCACCGTCCTTAAGCACCTTTGTAGTAAGTCCCCCGGGTCCTATTACTTTTCCTCGTCTCAAATTAGGGACAACTTCAAGTGTGGATGGAGGACCGATGTCCATTCCATTCAGGTAGGCATTAGATATTGGCAAGTTGAGAGTGGCTGTAGGCCACTTAAACTGCTCCTCAAAACGACCCCACCAACGTCCAAGTCTCCTTTCCTGGGGGGCGATTTTTTCGGATTTCTCCATTTATCATTAGCATTTTCTCTAATAGGCTCGAGTAGTTGTTTAGTGTTCCCTATCGCCGGTTTCGATTTATGTACTTATTTTGATTTTGTTGCCCATCGCTGCTCTCAGCAGTTGCGAGGACTCTTGGTCAGTTTGCGTTTGAACAGCTTTCGATTCCCATGATGTTTGGAGCCCACTGGAATCGATGTTCTAGCGTCAGTTATTCCGGATGAACTGTCAGAAATCCACTGGCACTTTCTAAAATTTGGTTTTAGTATAACAACAGTTCTTACACTGTTTCTACAGCTGACTGAATATTTTGCTTGAGGCACCTGAAACATATTAGTAGCCTATTTAGTATGAAGAGCATACGTGACACGCTAGTAGGAGGAAATTGTCGACAAAGTATTCTGGAATTTCAAAAGTGGTTGACCAAGCAGAGCAGATGAAGACAAATACATCTTTTACAGAAAAGCAATTGATTAAGAAATTACAACACAGGGTGTATTCCCCACTATAATCCATTGGTTCTAACGGAATGTTTATCTGAACATGAAGTGACCTGAATTTTAAGACCAATCATTTTCGATTACAGAGTCGGACATACGACCGTAAAGACGTTTGATGCGCATACGAGCTGTCTTTTCTTATGAAAGCGCATAGCTTATATTTCATTAACAATGTCATAATAATCAAATTTACCTTAAAAAATCACGGTTACACTCAAGTGCTCCAGAAGTTCACATAATGACAAGTGAAAAACTTACAGGAACCATTGGACTGAGGGGGACCATACTGCTTTTTCTGACCACGAACAGGCCGCCCATTGCCTTGCACAGTAGTAACCACATTTGGGGAAGTCTGGTATTCAGGTTTCTGAGTGTTTGGAGGTTTCATCGCCTTTATTTCAACCTACACAATTTTAGGATTAAACCACGGTGACTTACTTGTTTTCCATTCAAATTCAAGTAGTGGAGTCTGATGAGATTTTTAACCACTTCTTCATCTTCGAATCCAACAAACGCAAAACCTGTAGACCATACATAAATTTGTTACAAAAAGTACCTCTATGTCGCTGCTTGGTTTGACCAGCAAGTAAGTTAACGTCAGTAACCTGCTAATTAGTGGATCAGAGACGTTAGAACAAACCCTTCCATAGCTGGAGAAAAAGTTCCTAATTATGTTTTCGTCATGATCAAAGGCAATTCCTCCCACAAAAACCTTGAGACTTCGCCGATTCTAAGCACCGAGTAAATAGTGAAAAATTATTTACTTTGCCTTTCATATTAACATTGCATCTTTTGGGATCAACTTCCTTAAGGTCAATCAAGTGCGGTTTTTGTCTTAAGACCCAATCTACAGACTCATCATTCTTAAACTTAACATATCCAAAGCCTCGTGATCGACCTGTCTTGTTGTCCATCATTACAGTTGACTCTTCAATATCACCAAACTTCGAAAAGTATAATTTGAGGGAGTCTACAGGCATCAATTAGAATAACAAGTGTTATACCATTAGTTGTTGACTGGTGAAGCCCTCCGACAAACAGTTTCCTGGTAAGGTAAATAAAAACATTATTCATAGTAAGTTACCCGACTTCATTACCCTGAGAATCGATTGACATAGTTGACAGAGCTCAACGAACTGACCGAACGCGCCACGAAGGTCACATAAGATTACCGCTCTTTCGATTCGCTATAACTTTTATGAGATTGGTAACTGCATAGATGCTTTATTTAAATCTATGAAACAATCATCCTTTTTTTCAGGCATTTTTCTCTTAATAGCACTCAAATAGGAAACCACAGTGACCAATTCTAACCAATGGTCTTAAGGATCCAATCACGGAATATACACATTTGATCATAGGGAATAATAAAAAAGACGGTTGCAGCTAAGGAAATTTTCTTTTCGACGAGGTCATCAACTAGGCTGTACATTCGTGTATTTATAATACATGGTTAGGAAAGTTCCAGGGTAATTTCCGGTCAAGGGTCAAATTAATAAAATTGCAATTAGGAATTAAAATGCCATAATAAACAGGGGGACAGATAAAAACTCAAACAAAGTAGCATCATAACTACTGAGAAAATCAGCATATTGTGCTGTTATGGGCTAGATATACTGATATTATAAAATAAGACAAGATTTTTGGATAAAAAATCTAGTGGGATAATAACTGGTGTGACAAATAATTGTTTAATCAACGAGTGAATAAATATGTAGAAATAATAAAATGAGAAAATAGACGGGAATTTAGGGTATGAAAATATGGTAGTGTAAATATGGATTAAGAAAAACTTAAAAATAACTTGAATAAACAGAAAGTTTTGGATAAGAAAGGCAATGAGATAGTGACTATTAAAATGAAGTCGTTGAAAAGAAATTTCTTCGCTGAACAAAAACTGTGTTTTTACTTATGAATAAATGGGTATTTTTCGTGAATTAAAACTATCACCTGTTTATCATGACTACGGCAGAGACAAGGATTGGACGTATTTCTTTTGGATACACAGCGTGGGTTTCAGCTTTTGGATGGCTACTGCCTTGGCTATGCCCAGATGTCTTAATTTTACTCCCTTTGAAAGGTTTGGCCGAATCTTGTATATTATTTTGAAGGATTTTTCGAATGGCGCTGAATGTTCTGAACTTCCCAGATGTTCTGTCAATGAACTATATACTCGTTTTCGTTACACTTTTACTAGCCAGACTGGAAAATGTTCACGAGCGCATTTCTCAAGTTGGTTCATGGTACGGTCAGTGTATTCAGCTCCGCACGAGCAAGTAAACTGGTATATGCACGCTAAAGTGGTCCAATGCGACGGCTTTCTTTCGCGATCTGGCTGAACAGTTTCTTGCAGGAAAACGTCAGTCGTAGGATTGCGGCAAAGTATCTTCTCCTCAGAGATTTGCAGAGGCGTTTACGAAGGATTTCTGCTTCAGTGTCACCTTTGAATTCTAGATTAGGCAGAAGTATCTTCTTCTGGACGGACTGAACTTGTTCGGAAGTCTTCTTTGATTTTAGACTCTTGTATATGAACCTAGGAGAAAAGTCGGTTTCCATCAGAGTTCTTCGGAGGTTACTCGGTTCTTTGTCAGTCACTTCCTCGCTGCATATCCTCCGAATCCTCAAGGAAAGAGCATATAAAGTTCCTCTTTCTGCTTAGGGGCACGAAGCTTTGAAAGTTGATGAATTGTCCGCTCCATCTAGGCTTTTTCAGACGGACCTTTTCAGAGAGTTGTCGGCGTTTCTTGTCATATGGACGTCGAGAAAGTGGAACATTCTGTCGGATTCAACTTCAACAGTAAAGTTGATGTTTTGGTGGGTATTGTTGGAGGTTTGAAGTAAGTTTTCAAGGTCTAGGTTCTCAACACAAATTATGAAAGTATCATCACTGTATCTCTTATAAAGACGGAGGTCAGTGACAGTCGGTGAAGAGAAGTTGTTTTCTATGCTGGTCATAAAAAATCGCCAGGAAAGGTCCCAGTGGAGAGCCCACTGCTACGTCATCTGTTTGGCTGTATACTTCATCGTTGAATCTCAAGTAGACGTTGAAGGTCCAAAGTAGTAACCGCTACTTTGGATAATTAATCTATACTGATGCATTGGTTGAAGTCACACAGAAAACATATAGTTTTTGTCAGTTGAACATTGGTTAAGAGAGAGTTGACGTCTGGGGGGAACATTTTTTATCTGAGAGGTTGATATTTTTAGTTGAATGTGTCGTGGAGGTTGTATCTCGACACCCCATCTTTCACTGGTCCAAGAAATTCTATCAGCCACTTCGCGATTAGGTGACATGGTGAATGAATCATATCTAATATTGAGCGGAGTGGGACGTCCTTTTTGTGCATTTCGGGTAACTCGTACATTTCTGGTAATGTAGAACCAGATGAGCGAATTTGTTCATATAGTTCTTCATCAATAATTGATTCATTCTTTTCTCAAAAATTTGGTTAGATGGAGCTCAGTTTGTTTGGTTGGATCTTTTTGGACCGTCTGGTTTTGAAATTTGTTGTCGTCAGACAAAATTGGCGAGAGTTTCTTCACATAGTCTAACCTGTTGAGCAGAACAATTCCAGAACCCTTTTCTAGTCGAGTAATTATGAGGTTTTCATTTGATTTCAATTCTTTGAGTTGCTTTCGATGTTATTTTGAGATCATATTACGAAGCTTAGGTTTTTTGTAGATGTAGTCGGGGCAGCAATTCAAAACAGTTGATTTGAAATGTTCAGGCATATGAGATTGGGACCAGATCATTGGTCCAACTAATCAAATTCTCTAATTTACTTTGGTGTCCAGTTCGTTTACTTTTGATGATGCACCACAGAATTTTGGTTCTAGTGACAAAAGTTGCATTTGAATAGGTATCAGTGAGATATCAGAAAAATTGAATACATATTTCTCGGGACAAGACGGAAAAGCTGTTTCCTTGGTGGCGGATTTTAGGCTCTGGTTAAGTTTCGTGATGATATCATCCTTTCTCTTCTCTGTAACTGTATCGGCGTAGTGTTCGAATGACTCATGTTAATCAACAGTCAAATTGTAGAGGATGTGGGAGCTCACTGAGATCTTTTGTTCCAGTTCAGCCAATTTAGATCGGATGGCATCAATGTGATTCTGGGTGTGTTTTATCAGCGTGCGTGAATTAGGAGATATATGGTTTCGTCCCAAATTTTTCCAGAATGCTTTCGGGTTCTTTAATTTTCAAAAAGAATAGGGACCGGACGCCTATACTGATATTATTCTATTGAAAGTCTGCACTTGTCTATTCCTCCCTTGATAGCGCCTAGTAAAAACAGAGTCTGTCTCTTTGCACCCGCTTCTTGAGAGTAAGGTTAAGGTCCCTCGTGTTCGGTAAACTTACACATTACTAGTTTATATTACGCTGACGTTATTTGTAGATCTTTTAGTGGATTGATAGTAACCAGCTGTGAATCACATGGTCAGGCTGATGTGCAATTAACTCGCTATATTGGCTCATACTTGGTCTATCAGTAAATCTCCGACTTATCGTTCGAGTTTTAATACCGCTTACACTGAGGTCAGTTCGGTTACTGTATACACCAACTAGTATTCTGAGTTCCGGAGAATTGTCCACTGGTTACAGCAAATCTTCTGATATCGTTACTGACAGCTGTATTTGACGGGATTTTTATGTTTATTTGGCTTTTGTTGGGTTGATTTCTTTGAGAATTATTCTTCGACATTGTTCCTAAGTGTGAATGCATGTTAGCGTAGCGGGATGCTTGAATGTATAATTCATGCAATAATCATTTGGTATAGCGAGCATCCTTGGCTTACATTTACTCTACTAGAATTTAAATAATTTCTGTTCATGTCGGCACAGAGTGCAATCTGAATTCAGCTGCTCACATTTTCCTCGAAATCAATTAAATTACGTCCACTTGCTTCGTTCGTATGGGCTACAGCACACGAGGAAGTAGATATTTCTCATCAGAATCTTCTAAGGACCTGGCACCGTTTCAAATCAATGAAAATCAAGAGACATTATTTCAGTAAGTTTATGCACACTCTACGTAAAGTTGTGTGTAAAACTTGCATGAGCACCTTGATACGATAAAGGGCAATAAAGTGTACTTAAAAGGCTATCAGTAAATAATACTGTGTTACTGTATGTTTTATCAGACCACGATATATTGCGACGGAATTTCCGTCAGAACTCTCGCGTGAAATCTCGCGAATAATTGACACCCACGTGAAATAACAGATGCAAATGTAGACTCAAAAGTCACTTCTTAACAAACCAGCTGGTTAACTACTTCACATGTTGCATAAATCCCAGGAAATCCTTTTAAATTGCCTCCTTTTATCACTAAGAGGAAATCAACTGCCAGGAGTCTGATTTCAGTTTTCTCATTTTGTCTCACAAGTCAACGCCCGTAATGCCTAGCATTTATGTCATTATTCCACCAGCATGTCTCCTGCTAACAAAACTTCCATCTAAACTGCTACACACAACTCTTCTCCTACCAAACGGCTCAGTAAATTATTTGTCAACAACCGTTGGCCTCTTCTCCATTTGTTGTCGGGGGCCAGAATATGCAATATTTTTAATGTTAGCTTCAAAAGTAATTTTCCCATATTCGGGTTGGTTTTCAACAATAACCATGACGTAATGACAGATGGTATTATTAAAATTTGGATTGCGTCATCTGAAACCTGTTTTTATTTAAAAGCGTCCCATCAAGCCAAACTTTATTTGAACGGAAAACTGATGACAATACAATATTTCATTAGATACTGGCAGTCAGTCACGTCTTCTATGACAGATCCACCACAAGGGAAACAAAGTCTCTTTAGAGATCAATAAATACCACTAAACAATTTCCAAACGTTAGCAACGTTGCAAACAGCTACAAGGTATCTGGCGTAGTAGCGGTTTGTCTCCAATAGATTATGCGAACCTTACAGATAGTAATAATATATATTTATTCCTATCTACGTGGGACACACCAGTTTTAGAGGCATGGATAAGTATTATTTAAATTACATAAATTTGATTTATGGTGAAATTATATGGTTACTGTCCTTTTTGACATTAGTTTGTAGGTACAATCTGCTAACTAGTCATTCAATGGAGCACATTAGGAAATGTAGAAATATTGTCTTCGCATTAACAAAAAACCCAAGTGTGTGTTAGATCGATCACAAATACTTGGGAAAAAATAAAGCATCAAGTCAATTCCTCCATATTACTTTGTTATGTGCGTCATCGTATCTTGTTCTTGATTTATATCCGGATCGGGTATTAATCGAGAACAAGATGTTAATTATG